TTTGCATTGCTAGTCATCTTGTAATCACATTTCACGACTTCTGCCCGTGCAGCCCTGATTGCTGCAGCTGCTCTTGCTTTCAGGTGCATGGTGACGCCACCACGAAAATGCTGGTTCTTTCACCAGTTCTGGAAGTTCTGTTGCATGTTTCCCCAACTTAGTCGTTCAAATTTTGTGGTAGTTCTTTTGCTATGTAGTGTCTTCATGTGCAAAGTTACTTTTCTTGAAGAGACCCTCTACATTTTTTATTTACCCCCAGCCATTCTTAGAATCAGTTGTAGCAGTCTGAAGAGGAAGAAAAACCTGCAAACCATAATAAAAATAAGGGAAGGTGAGCAGAAATGTTTCAGAGATTAATAAAGCTGTGGGAGATTCTGAAAGTGTATTGGGATTGGGTCACCTTCTAAGGATGGAAGTGAATTAGAGAATCAGGGTGAGGATATTGGAGGATTTTCTTGTTGTGCCTTTAATTTTGACAAACAGTAGTGACTTTCACACGATTATTGGAAATTCTTGCTTGGAGTTTGAATTCTAGCAGCTGTTTGTATCTGTGTAGCACAGTGTTGCCCGTGAGAATCCTTTCTGGAGGTCTGTGTAGCTTTTGGGTGACACTCTTCCTCCTGGCTGTTTAATGCCCTTTCAGTCTGGAGCACATTTTTACCTCCCGATTTCAAGGGCTGGGTTTACTCCCCACACAACCTTTGCCGTGCAGGCGCTCACCACGCCCGCTGGCTGTCCCGGGGTCCTGGGCCCCGGCTCTGGAGGGAGCTTGGTGCCAGCTCCCTCGTGTCACCTCAGGCAGCTTCAAGAAGTGTTTCTAATTCAAGTCAGCGTTGCTTAAAGAGAAAACCTTACATGGTGCTGTGCTACACTGTAATCATTTATTGGGAATTCCCAAGGAAAGTCTCTCAAAAGTGGTGTTGTCTTTAAAAGAGATGTATCTACAGCATTAAATACACAGTAAATACATTGCTACTATTCAGATGTTAGCGTGAGAGGACTAATGTATTACTTTAATTAGTTCGTAGTGTACTTTACAATGTTGTAATATGCAATATTGAAATAATGAACTGAAAATAGGTACGTCTGCATTCTGTTCAGCGCAGCAATTTAATAATTCACTTGGCAAAAGCTCCTCTAATAATACATGAACTGCGAAAAGTACTTGAAATGCCGGTTGTAATTAAAAACTTTCAGAACTTAATGTTGGCAATGCTTATACTGTCAGAATGTAAGCTGCTTTGTGGAATAGGCAATAGGGGATCCAGTTTCCAGTGTATTTTCAATATTAGTTTAACTACCAGGATTTTTTTTCATATTTAAACACCGCATTTGCTGTTGACACAGTAAATTCTACCCTTCTGATTTTGCACTCGCAGGAATGAAAGAATGCAATCAGAAAGATGTTAATTTTTTTGTTCATTCTCTGGTCCCAGATTACTGCCTTAGTAAATCAGAATTATCTTTCAGAATTATTTTTTTTTGTTCTTCAGATCTGCACAATAGCACCTCTGGAGGAAAAACCTGATGAACACAGTGGGTTTTCCTGAAAAGTTTAAGTGGTGGGATGTCTGGAAATTCAGCATCAGGTGGTCACTTTTAAACAGCAAAATATTAAAAGCGTAGAGATGCATGCACAGAGATTCCTCACCCATTCCAGGCTTACAAAATGAAACGTTGCAGTTTGAATCAGCTGTTTAATTCCTAGTTTTTGGTATTTCTTACATAATAAACCACTATAATTTAGCTCAGCTCTGTTAAGGACGTTTTATGCGATGTGACTTTAACTCTTCGTGTGGAGAAGACATGGCATAATGCCAGCCTACTGATTCACATTCTATAAATATTTTGCAAACAGTGCTTTTCAGGGTTTTACCAATCTTTCCTTTTTTGTTGCAATTCTGAATAATTTTTGAAAGGAAACAACTCCTTTTGTCTTGATGAAAAGGCACGCATTAGATAAATGTGGGAGGGGCAGGGGTAGCGTAAACTAACTTCGCGTGCTGCCTGCAGAAAAGACTACGTGGGGTTTTTGGAAAAGTAATACCAGGAAATGTCCATTCCGTCTGTCGTTCTTACTGCTTGTTTTCTGGATTGGTAAGGGGCTCATGCAGTGAGGAAAGCTTACTAGATAAGAATGGCAGGCAGATTTTCCCCCCTGAGTAAATGGGTGCTGAGCAGTGGGGCAGAGCAGCCAGCGCTGTGGCGGGTGGTGGAGATGGGCTCTGGGTTGCTGGCGTGCCACCTTGCACCGGGGAACCTCGCTGCATGATTCGTGTTTTGCCGGCTGAGTGAAGTTACGTATCTGATGCTTGGCCATGCTCGCTCGTTCGTATGAAGCTGGCTGAAAATCTAGCCTGTGCCCCACCCAGCGTTGATTTCTGGCGTGAATCGCAAGGCTTTCCCAGGAGAGCCATGTGAAGGTAGCCAGGGAGGGTGACGGCGTGCTGACCTGCCAGTCCAAGGGAACATGGGGTTTTGCAGTGATTTTAGACTAGATCAGCATCTGTACCCACGTACTGCTCTGTCGTTTGCTTTGCTTCAACCAGCTGTCACCCTGACCGGCTCTCTGCTGGGCCAGTGCTCTTCTCAGCATCCATTGCCAGCCCATGGCTCCCTGGCGCGTGGGCTCACTGCGGCTTTTACTGAGACCCATCTTGTGGACTCGCCGTGCTAACTAATGACTGCGATCAAACAACTGAAGAAGATCCCTGGTTAATAGGTAAATTAATAGCTAGAGGAGACCGACCAGTAAAGGACCGAGAGCATTCTCAGAGCTGGAGGAAGCTGAAGCTGCAGCATGTCATCAACCCACCTATATTGGCATACATTTCGTTACTGAGGAGAGGTTGAAAGGAGTGTTAAGCAGGATGTAGAAAAATACAGGCTTAAAAAAAAGTGATTTTGTTTGTTAGATAGTTTGACTGTTACCTCATTTCGGTTCAGAAAAGCTCAGTGAAGCTTTTACAGAAGTTTAAAGTTCCATCAGGTGCTTCTGCAGTTTATTCTATCTCGAATTTGAGCAGACTTTCAGCAGATTTCATTATTTTTTGTTTTTTGTTAGATTTTAAAGCTTCATGTAAATGTCTTTGCTTCAATCTCATTCAAAAGTGAGGTAGAAATGATTGCATGTTCTTCCACAGTCATTTTCAAAACATTCCTTTTTATTACTGTAGTAAGTGAAGGGTAACTGAAACAACTTAGTATTTTATTTTAGATTCTTAAACTGCTAAAATGCATGAGCAGAGTGATGTCAAATATGCTAAGTAAAAACTTCTAATTAGACAACAGCCCCGTGTTACATGTTTCATGATGTTGGGGGAGGTTTCGTTCAGATATTACAGCCAAGCTCCAGTAAACAGGGAATTATTCCCTCTAGAAGACTCTCAGCTGCTCATGTGGTCGCCTTGCGTATTCCTTCTTCTATTGTTATTATTGTTCCGTATTTCTGGTTAGATGGATATTTTGAAATTATAGTTGGCTTGAAGAACTGTCAAACTCAGTAGTTATTATTAAAGCATGAAAACACACCAGTTAATGCTTATGCTTGGGTGTGGTAGCAAACTGCATTGAACTTTTAAAAATAAACTCAGCTTGCAGGAGACAAAATTGTTGCTTGCACACATGGTGCTTACTGCAGGCAGAGTATTTCTTTAAATCTTTTAATAAAGAGAGTTTAATTTTACAACCACTGTAAAATGTGATGTTATTTTCACGTTATTACTTTGCCTGCACCGCACCAAGAGTCACAGCAGTGTTTGGTCTGTCGGGACACTTTGCAAAGAGCAAAACAGAGTTGTTGTTTAAGCAAAGAAGTGGCCCAAACCAGACATCGCTCAGAGATGCAGCTCACGGAGAAATTCAGACCGTGGGGAGTGCTGGATTTCTGAACAAAAATCTTTCACGAGCACAGAGCAGAATTAATAGAGACTGTGCACACAGCTAGTGAAATGCCGTAAAGGGGGAGAACAATGTGAGGGTTTTAATGTCTTAGTGTTAAAGTACTTACTGTAGAATAGAAAAGCAGATGAAAACTGGCAGAAATGCTTGTTTCTTTGAGAAATAGAGTTCTGTTGGCACTTGGCAAATCCGTCGCCAAAAGAGCTGGCAAGTCAAAAAAGAGGAGACATCGTTAATCCTGTCGCAGCCAGCATGAAGCCGCTGGGCATAGAGCTGCTCTTGGTACCGCAGGCGAGCGGGAATCTGCACCAACCAAGCGCGGTGCTCAGGAACACGGGAAGGAAGTCACAGCCTGTTACCCGTTATGGAGGACGTCTTGTCTTGTTTAACCAGTACGGAGCGCCAGGAATGTGTCAGGGATGGATTTTTGGTGTGTTGAGCAAAGCAATCTGTGCTGTCCCACAGCAGTCCCTGTCACGAGGGGTGCGGTGACCTGGCCCCTGCCCGGCTCTGGCTGAGCTGCTGCTGCTGCTGCCGAGGGCTCTGCCCAGCAAGAGCAGGCTGTCGGCTGGGTGACACCATCAGGGGCACCAGCCAGAGGCCCTGCAGAGGAGGCAGGAATCCTGGGCTGGTTTTGCACGGTTTGAAAGCTGACAAAAAGTGAAGAAGTCCATTGATATCCAGAGTTCTGGTGGGAAGCAAAGTGCTGCTACAGAAACACCTGAATTGAAGGATGTGAGCGGGTTTGGGTCTGTTAGCGCTGCTCTCCATTCCCATGTAGGGTCGTTAAGAAACGTACACGTTACTGAAAGCCTGAGTGCCGGAGGGGAATTTAAGATCGAATGTTACTGAGCTAGTTTTGGCCATTTTCCCTAAAATCTCTCCATGTGTGATTCTACTGCGTGTTATGCCAGTCAGCTGCAGATTGCAGGATAACATGTGGAAGCGTGGTGCTTACTTAATAGTTACATATTGTTGATAAGATGATAAATCTTAATTTATAAATGAATTGCATGGATTTTCTTCCCAGTCTCAGTCTGGCAGTGTCACAGTATTACACAAGTCTGCTGCAGGACTGTCTTTTCAACCATTTCTTCCAGGTTCTACAGTGGAAAGCCCAGCAGGAAGAGGCTGCTAGACTAGAAGCTGCTATAGCTGCCAGAAGAAAAGAAAAGGAAGATGAGAAAGAAAGGCTGCAGAAGGAGAAAGAAATCATTCGTAGAGCTCAGGACAAAGAGAAAGTATGAGAAACTTTTATACATTTTTGCATATGTGTTAATGTGAAACACATCGATTGCCTTTAAAATCTTTAAGGGATCTCACTACCTTGTATCCCTGTCAAGTGGTAAGTGTTAGGATAGAGATGAGCAAATGATTACTTGACTCTTGATACTGTCTGTTTTGGCTTTAAAGCTACCTGCTCTTACACACCAGTTGTGTTATTTCATCGTGTTTCTTAAAGAAAAAGAAGAAACAACCACACACCAATAAGTGTATGTGACTATGTCCGTGTCACACGCAGTCAGCATAGAGGTACGGCTGGATTTCTGACTGTCAGAGTTGTGCTTTTTAGCAACGTGGCAAAGACTATGAAAGCTTCTAGCGCTGCAGTTAAGTGTGCTGCAATGCAGCAAATGAGCCTCACAGGAGACTGTGTGCGAGGCAGTGCGCTGCGCCGTGCGGCACCGGGACCCGAGCCTTGGGCCCAGGGCACAGCAGGGCCGTTAACCACTTTTGGGGGGGCACGAACCTGAGTTACCTTATTCTGAGTAGTGCGGTGGTGACTGCTGGGGAAATGGCTTTGAAGTATAAGCCTAAACTTCAACTGAATAGAAAATCAGAGATCCACTGTAGTGACTGTAATGCTTTTAGAAAATCAGGCTGTGCCACATATCCATTTGTGTTGACCTTTTTATTTAAATGATATGGCAAAAATCCAGGAGGCTGTTTTATTAGAACTTTACCTCTTTTTCTGATTGTGTTTTACACTGAAATCTGGTGTGCTTGGAGTCCAGCTCACCTGTGGTGTACTTGTTAAGACTGCATAATTATTTGGAAAAAAAAGAAGTTGGGGAACATCATAGATTCTTATTGCTTTGTCTTTCGGATGCTGATGAGTCAACAGTCTCTTTTACAGGACCATTTGTGCTGATGTGGTTGCAAGAAGGGGCACTAAAAGCTGTGCTCCTGTAACATTCCAGTTAGAAGCAGGGTTAAGAAAAACAGACTAAACTCTTCCAGACAGAGTATTTTCGTGATGGGTATGAAGGCTTTACTTAGTGAGAGCAGCATGTGTCATGCTACGAAAAGTGTGTGCAAAAGAAAGAAAACAAAATTTCTATATACGTTATCATGTTTTCTCTTTAGGTTTTGTCCTCTTTATTTCTGCCATGATTCTGTGTAACACGTCTCACTGGTAGCAAACGGTCACTGGTGTGACTGCAGCAGTGCCAGTTAGACACCCCAGGCCAGGATGGATTCTTACTCCTGCAGAGGCGGGTGGAACTGGCTGCCTTGGCAGAACAATGAAAGCAGCCCTTCACTGCTTGGAATTTCCCCATCTATTTTTATAGCACTCAAATATCTTTTCCTTGCTTGGTGCACAGAAATACGTCATCATGCAATGTCAAACGGGTCAGGAGCAGAACCTCTTGTGGCTTATTGTATTCCTGGTGTTAGTTTGTGTAACTGTTGAATTTGGTTACAAATACTAGCAATTCTGTGAAGAAGCGCTTGACTGCATGTGCCACCTGGAGCAAAGAAGCTGGAGCTGCTGAAGGCTCCTTATCTCCACACAGACTGTTAACTCCTCATTACTTCTCATTGCTGCAAGTCCCCAGAGCCACCGCTTGAAAAGCTGCCGAATTTCAAATTGATTTAATTTTATGTGTGAGCTTGTTCTTGTTGGTCATGACTGCACTTGTATCCAGTTTCTTCTCTAGCTGAAGAAGTCTCTACTTATGTTGGTCACCTGGTTTTGTTCATCTGCAATTTAGCTTAAAGATGAAGTATACAGTCTTTGAAGAGCACAGTCTTTCTCTTAAACTATACTAAGTCATGTAATTAGCAAAATTGTAACTAATTGTCCAAAAGTTAACTTCAAGAGATGTTTCTCATTCCTTCAAAATAAGCAGAATATTCTCACTTTTCATAGAAATGAAGTCCATGGGACCCGATGGGATACACCAATGGGTACTGAGGGAGCTGGTGGATGAGGTTGCTAAACCCCTCTCTA